AGTGCAGTGCAGTGGATCAGCTAACTCTTATCTAACTGATTGAAGCCAGCGACCGTTCTTCACTGAATTGTATTAAGATGTTAAAACCGCAAAAGAAATGCTGACGCACTGTTAAAACTTCACAAAAGAAAAGATCAATGGCTAAAGAATTTATGCGGCTGTAATGGAATAAACTAAAATAAACAATTTAGTAAGTTTATAGTTCAACTATCTGACCCGACAAACGTTGCTTTGCCTAAGAAAAAATTTAGGGATGGGTCACCCTTACCATTTAGGGGTATGAAAAATAGATGTTGGCCGATTCTCAGACCTACCCGATGTGCACACAAAATTTCATGAGAATCGGTCCACCGTTTCGGAGGAGTACGGGAACGAACATTGTGACACGAGAATTTTATATATAAGATAAAACTTAGAAGAATTACAAGCTCAGACATGATCGGTATTTTATTTTCTAAATTCAATATATAATTTATACTCAAAATTTTCTCTTTGAGTAACTTGCAGTACTATACTTGTAAATGCCTTCCATGATATTTATATTTATGCTACTAACAGGTGTATTACAATTGCCCGGCGTTTCGACAGGCTGTCCTGATCTTGGTATTAGACTGACTCAGACCAGCCCGTTAATTTCCTTGTATTTATATGATCTATGCCATATCTCAAATATATCTTATTGTCAATCGACCTTAAGCCACCCTCCGTTGCTTAAGGTCAGTCTTAATCGATTGACCTATCACTATCATCCTATCACATCCTATTACATTATAATGATAGTAATAATGGAAAACGAAATTGATTAAATATGTTCAATATGACTACAATAATTACATGTTACATAAACAATGCGTAAGGCAATAAAATTATATGTAGAAAGTTTGATTTTCCTGGGAAATGTTCAAATCGGTCAACCATTAACTGAAAAGTTTAATTCTCTTACATCTTCAAGGAACTGCAGACTTTAAAGTCAACTATTATTCTACTTATTACTGAGATAAACAGACAGAAAGATAAGCGGATGACAAAGCGATCTTACAAGGTTCCTTATTTTATTTTAGGAACCCTTAGAAGTCAAACGACCTTTACCAATCCTTTCACAAGTGACCCAAATAATACAATCATTTTTGCCGAACCTCTGTCATCACTTAACTTATCCAGCGCACTTCCGTGGCCCTTTGCGAATGAATGCACAAATGCCAGATTTAGCCTCATGACGCGACGTCAATTTTATTGTAGCTACTAAACGTTATTGACGTCAAACCATAAAACGAGTGGCCGACACAGTACAACGGCGCCAAATGCACGCAACGAACGATAAAGATATTTACGTAGTTACTGAAAAGATTCAATTGCATTTAGAGGTTGATGGATTGGACGCCATTAGTTTAGAAGCAGTCTACTGATTGAGTTGGTATTTAATAAATAATGATTTAAGTTGTACTGCGGACTGCGTAAAGGACCACGATCCATAATTCTTGACGATCTAGAACCATCTTTTGTCGTCATCAAATCGTCATTTGCACAAGATGGATGCCAGAAGTCGAGGATTAATCTGAATGGCGTACAATTAGAGATGCCTATGATTAGCAGTGGAAGGATGGATGGAGGCTGATGATGATTTCATGAAAAAAAAATAGAAGACAGAACACTTGCCAGCGCCTCTTTTTAAACCGGATGGAGTAAGCAAGGTTTTCCATTCATAATGGTATAGCTTCCTACTTAAAAGGCGGACAGAATCTGCAAAGATTCACAGAGATATTCCTAAGGTAACGAACCCCTATGGTTATGGTCAATTATAATTTTTATTATACTCGTATATTTTAAAAAATTATAGTTTACCAAAAGGTCAATGTTTGTTAGTATTTTATGCACTCGAACTCCTTTCTAAGGAGAGGCCTATGTCTAGCAATGAACTATTAAAGGCTGTTGATGTGATGTGTGATGTGATCGACACAATCATCTCGAAATTAGTAAACATATTGTACTGTATATCCTATTTAGTATTCGTAAGATCCACCAACCAGAAAATACTGTTTAATGTGCAAACAATGGAAAATTACTTTTATGAGCACAGTGTAAGCTAGTTTTAAATACAATTACATCAACAAAATCGCTATTGAAAACTCAGAAACTTCAGAAAAAAATAGTAACTCAACACAATGATACAATACTCCGTAAATAGGTATTACTGATGTGAACTGCAGGATTAACGGCTACGAGCCATACCTGGTTTTCCCAGCGAGGTCGTTACCACACCGAATATGTTGTCATGCTAGATATTATCTTTTAACACGCATAGAATATATAGTTGTGGTTTGCCAACTATGAGCGTGTTCACACGAAACAGTTTCTGAACGTGATCACCACGAAATTCCGTGTTCAAGCCACGTTGTGACCGCGACAACCGACCAAGAAGGTAACTGTGTGCATACCGATATGTTTTTATGATTGATAGAAGGCCAGCTTTAGGGTAGATCTTTCTTATTCCCATCCTAGCCGCAATAATCTCGAATAAATTGAGCATCACGTGATGTAATGATATGCCGCCCCTTTAGTAAATTTATTTCAGAATCTGAACATGACTTTGAGTCAATAAAGTACTACGTAATAGAGGACATAGCTAGAAAGCGAGTAGATAAGCACTGAATTGACGAGTGATAGATTAGAAAGCTCGGTCCCCAATATTTTAGGGAAAATTTAAAGAAAATTACTGTTTCAACAAGTTTTTTTATTCAATTTTCTGATTGCATTCCTTTAATACTTAATAATGTTATTTGATACTAAATATGCTACGGGTACTAAGTAAATAGCTTTAGATTAAATGATCCGTTCTATACATATATTATGCACGTACTCGTATATTAACTAAAAGGGCATGAAACACACTTATACGGACACCTCCGTTTAGCAGTGGGAGAGCCATGCTTCAGCACGAATGGGCGGGTTCGACCGGAGTGATACCACGGCCTCACAGAAAACCGGTGTTAAGCAATTCTTTCGTTTCCTTTCACTGACTAAGTGAGGTTACCCCAAATCCCCCCTCCCGCTGACTCGAGCTGGAGTCCAAGGGCAGCAACGCACTTGTGACTTTTGAGTTGCAGGTGTCCATGGGCGGCAGTAGTTGCTTACCATCAGGTGACCCGTCTGCTCGTTTGCCCCCTTACGCCATAAAAATACCATACCTCAACTTCTACAACATTCATAAGTATGAATATCAGTGGATTAACTCTTACAGCCTACTGTCAGTACATAGGTGTGTCGTTTTAAATACAAAGCCAGCATTTTGCGTAATCCCTAACACGGGCAATAACCCAGGGATTAAAGACTGCTTAAATTCCCGTATTTAACGTTTTACGTATTTATTTGCAAAAAAGAAATGGGTTTTTAGTTCAATGTATGTTTTTCATTAAAAATAAATCTCAGCGATGCTGTTCACTGCATCTACTTGCGTGCTTACGTAAGCTGTGAGCTCAAGTGCATACAATAATTATTTATTTAAACGTTACTGAGTCTAACTCTGTGATTTTTATGAAAGAATAATTTAAAAATTGTTTGTGGAAGTTAACAAAACCGTTTTCCTTATTATCGATTCATCTTTTTTTTAAATATTCAACATTTACTTTTTACATTGACAAGAAACCTTAATCCAACAACCATTTTGCACAAAAATAATAAAAACTTACCAATTGGAGTTTAAAATAGCTACCAAATTTGTACCCTAATAGGGACAGATAATTTGTTTCAGGTTTCAGGACCCCGCTAGGAGAAGTCCGAATGTCCTTATAACAGCTGTTCCCGGACCTTTTCTATTTCAGGTGCAGAGTGGCACACCATGTTGTTTTAGTCAGTTCGATTCCGACATAACTTCCCACCGAAACAACGGCGGGGTGGAGGTTTGAAAGGGTTTCCACTCATATAAAAAAGGTCTTAGTCCCGCCCTGTGTGATATAATGATGATAATTTTAAGTATCTATACTAATATCATAAGCGCGAAAGTGTGTCTGTCTGTCTATCCGTTACCTCTGCACTATTAAACCACTGAACCGATAAACAATAAACACTCGAGCGGAGCCGCGAGCAAAAGCAAAATATAAGTAAGAAAAAAATAGGAAAATATAATGTATCCATGTATTGTGTCATGTAACATTGTATTTTCACACATACATTGTATTTACACATTACACACACATAGCACAAGCTATAACATTTAGTTCTAGATACAACCCAACAGGTATAGTTCCCAGAAACCGAAATAATAACACAAATACTGTGCTAAAAGTAAATTTTACAATTCGTAAGACGTAAAATTTGATACCAAATTGCTGTGCACAATGTACAAATAAACCTACACTTGGAAAACAACGCTCATAATTCTAGCGCTATTTGTAAACTTACTTACTACTGATTTATTAATAGGAACATAATGATTTGTACACACTGCGGGCTTAAAAACCGTAATCGATTTTATGACATACGGGACGTCGCGCGTTATCAAACTTATAACACAGTTGTACACTTAAATTGAGTATAGTATGAGAGATAATGAGATAAGGCCAATCCCATAATCATCAATCATGATCAACTGCCTTTACTAGTCCACTGCTGGACATAAGCCTCTACCTTAGAAAGGAGGTTTTGGTTTACTATACAACGCTGGCCAGACGGGTTGGTATAGGGTTTGTGTCAAGTTTTCCTCCTCTCTGCAGTGCTGTTGTCCTGCGTAGTTTGCTCCCTTGGTCGTTTCTTACGACACCCACGGGATGAATAGGGGTGGTGACACTCTGTGTTCTTAATCCGTCACCACACGGTGATATTACACTCATAATATTATGTAAAAATTACTTTCATAATATTTACGTCTTTGTTACGTCATTAGTCACACATTTGTCAATGATCTGTGAGACCAGGCCCAATCAGGCCTTAGCTGTTTGGCAGCAAACTCACCAGTTTCTTAAAGTGTTTGGGAGCCTTACTCACTTTCAAGATCAAGACACAAAATGGCGCGCTGGCATCTACTTCTTGCTGTTGTTAGAACAACGGGCTGCCTCGACTTTCGGCTAAAGGCCACTTTAGGGCACAGATCATTCTCGTCCACTCGAGTATTTTCTAAAGAGATGGAATCTTCTGTACTAGTAAACAATAGAAAGAATCAGAGTCTCAGTGGGAGACATCTTCTTCTCAGTGAGAAAAGATTTTTCTATAAATGCCTAAATGTCATCTTATCTTACTCTACAAATATAAATTTATACTCTTGATTGTGCGCACTTGGTGAAACTTATTAAAAATACATTATGAAATCAAACTCACTTGCACTTAAATAGTGAAATAAAATGAAACGAAAACGATATGTTCCATAGGAATCGTATACATAGTTGTTTCTGAAACGAAATACTCTTAATTGCACGCTATTTTGTTTCTGTTTAAATTTAAATAACGTGCTCCAAAGTTTATAAACCGCAGCTAGCAACAACTTGTTTTAATTAAGAACGTTTCGTTTTTAAATTCGAATGAATACAACTCGAAAAAACAAAAACGGTTACTGGAGTTTACTTTTAGCACGTCACAAACCAGTAAGTAATTGCTTTTTTTTTTGTACGTAAAGTTCAACATAACACCAGTGAGGTGAGACCGAATACTATACTTCCGTAGATCATTCAATATATAAATGTCATTTGTAAATATTATTCAGTTATAAATTGTTTTAACCCTAACATTGTAATCGGGGCTTTATAGTAAAAATACATAGTGTACTTGTAAGTCAATGTTGTGAAATGAACTTTACAAGATCGCTAATAAATGAAGTTATGCCAAAATAATATTACCTATTTGTATATTAAGTAGAATAATACAAAATACTAGTAACAGTCTGGAATAGGGAAATCACAAAACCATGTTAATAACATTTCTAACATTAAAACAGCCATCTGCTAACATACTTCATCGAGTAAATTATCTGTGTCTATAAAATAAACTGTTCTTTAGAAAACAGCGCCTTTTACAATAAGAGGTACAAAAACTACTAAAAAATATATAAAAACCAGCAATCTCGCGAAGGCAATCAACATAATTTTTGAGTCAAGTGAAAGTTGAAAAGCAACAAAAAAAGTTTTACACTTCTGTCGAGGCGGCTTATTAAGCCGAAACGTGACTTGCCACCTTTAAAAAGCAGTAGCAGCTTCCGCGGTGATAGTAAATTAAAAGAAACACACTAACAACTTGACTTGTATACATATATCATACCTTTTAAAAATAGACTGCGCGGATGGCGTAGATGTTTAAATGGTCGCCACGCCGCTCACTACTGCGCTGAGTTTTGTGGGTCCGATCCCCACATGGGACGACACTGTGTGATCCACAAATTGTTGTTCTGAGTCTGTGTGTTGTTGTGTCCGTTTCATGTATGTTTGTAAAGTCCCCTGCGACATAGGATATATGCCTAATTCGGTAGTTGTCTTTAAAAAAAAAAGTAATTAAAAGTTAGTTTAATTGATATTTTCTCCAACAGGAATAGTAAACAGAGGCGATTCCTTCCGTCGGCGCCGCTCCCGCTCCGGGTCCCTCGCACCGTCATCACCAGCACTATCCGCGCCAGAGTCTACAGGAGAACGCAAGCCGGTCGCATGTCACCGCGTGGCTATGGTCGGCGCCCCAGGCGTTGGCAAGACAGCTTTAGTGAGCCAGTTTCAGACCAGTGAATGCATCAATGCTTATGACAGACAGAGGGGTAAGACTTTCAAATAATCTTTATTTTAGTTTATCAGCAGAGGGGCTCGTGGCTAAATGGCAAGCGAGTAGGTTGGCACATTGTAAAGTTCAGCAATCCTAGCCAGGGCCTCTACTATTTCAATCTATTTATTATAATAAAAATAAATAAATTATTTCCTCAAAAAACGTAATATATTTTCAACTACCGATATTTATACCGATGCCAATGGCCACTCTATTTTTCTTCTTTTTTTTTTCTTTAAAAAAAGACAACTCCCGCATTAGGAATAAATCCTGTGTCGCGGGGGACCTTACAAACATACATGAAACGGACACAAAGAACACCCAGACTCAGAACAACAATTTGTGGATCACACAAAGTGTCGTCCCATGTGGGGTTTGAACCCACAACACTCGGCGTAGTAGGAAGCGGCGTAGCGACCGCTTAAACCACTACGCCATCCGTGCAGTCAAACTCGATGGCATCTCAATAGCGTGTCAGTGGTATGACACTGGCTTGGCGTGAACATAAAATAGCAGAATTGAGGCCCAGGTCAGTCTATGGATGAGTGACCATTCTTAACACATTGTGACCGTACTGTATCTTGGAGACCACTTCAAGCCGATACCGTCGAACCCGGTTGTCATATGAATATCTGTGACAATCTTTACGGGTAGTGAGAGCCCAAAAATGTCTGACAATAGTCTTAGGGTCAGGGGGATACATTTATTACAACCAACATCATTGTTATACATCATTTCATGAAACAGTAAATTGCTTTACCAGGACATATTCCGCGGTTGGTTCCGATATATGATACTGTCAATTAGAACAAGAGTACTTGACCGAGATTGCTGCAGAAAGCTGATTTTTGTTGAACGCCCTAATCTTAGGAACTACTGGTTCGAATTTCATCTTCTCTCGAATTCAGTTTCAGTCTTTTAGTGCTGGATAGCCCATCTATCGAGGAAGGTTATAGTCTATATAATATCACGCCAAAAGGAACTGAGAATCAGTGAAAAATGTTGAGGATTTATTCCTTTTGAGAGACGTAGACGAAGTTTGGGCCATATAACATCATGTTACGACCAATAGGAGCCAAGGCCGAGAATTTTAAAAGACGCAGACGAAGTTTCCCGGGTCAGCTATTGTTTAATAACCATTCTCAAAGTGAACGATTACCACAAATGATTAAAAGTTTTAAATTGAATACTTAGCTCAAAATATTCAAAACCCAACCTCCTACAATAATCTCGTAACCAAAGTAAGGTACTTATAATCCCGATACGAGTATGTTCGTATAAACTATTTACAAATCAAACCGGACGAAATACAAATAGTTTCAATAATTTCATTGCTTATGCCGCGTGTGATTCACTCTGTTATAATAGCACAAATCCCAGAATATTCCACACGGGTTTTACCGAGAATTGTCACGCATCGTAACAACTTCTGAGCGTTGTTCAACAGAATCACGGTGTAGAATTTTGACACGGTTATTACAGACGTTTATACGGTACCAAAGAATAAGGCTGGTTTAACTTTATGTTGGGCCCGGATGTCTTAATAAAAGCTATTCCCAGATTCCTTTATCTATTAAGCACAGTATAGCACACCTTGTGGTCTTAGTCGGTTCGATTCCGATACACTACCCCACTATAAACCCCGGTGAAACACCGTCGCTACTAAGCAGACGGTTATGGGCAGTGGTCACTTTCCATCATGTGACCCGTCTGCTCGTCTGCCCCTCTAACATAAAAAAAAACATGTTTTCCGAACTTTGTGAGTCTCCACCAAAGGCAGCCACTCCATTGTGTACTGAGGCCCCCTTTTTTTTTTTGTCATGTCGGACTCGAACCGACTAAAACCGCACGCCGTCTCGGGTACTAATAGCCGGGGAACCAGGTATACCCTAGAAAGGAAGTCCCTGGTGCCCCGACATACCTAGGGCCATCTACAACAACAGGTAGACGACCCCCCCCGTGTGGGAACCCCATGTTCCCTCTGCTCCCTGGCAGCGAGCGCGCTTCGCAACGCGCTCGCCGCCACCCCGGCCTGCTTCTGCTAGGGTGACAGATGGCCTCACCTGTCACCCCCAGGCCTGCGCTTATGGAGGACGGAGGTCGTTCTGCGTGTGCTGAGGCCCCCTAATATTTTTTGTTGATATAGAAAACATCATGGGAGAGTCGAGAAAAAAATCTTCTCTACCTGCCCTACACCTAAAGAAGGAAAAATCTTTTCAAGGTTTTATTTTAATCACTTTATCAGTTTTCTGCTAATAATCTAAGCTTGGAGTGTTAGTTATAGTACAGATACCGGGGACGTACAGACTGTTAGACAAATGAATATGGCGTAACAAGAAATTAGAATCATACCTTCTTAAAAAATCTACATGAAAATATACCAAATAATTTTACACACAGAAAATAGTAACATTACCTATCCAATATTTTCACCAATGGCGTAGTGGTTAAAGCGGTCACTACACCGTTTCTTACTTCGCTGAATGTTTTGGGTTCGATCCCCACATGGAACAACACATTGTGTGATCTACAAATCGTTGTTCTGAGTTTGGGTGTTCTTTGTGTCCGTGTCATGTATGTCTATAAAAACCCCCGCGACACAGGATGTATTCCTAGTGCGGGAGTTGTCTTCAAAAATATATATATTTATTTTATAAAATGAAGATGAGCCGTTTCCAAGAAACGTATGATTACGTAATATACATATTAACTGTTTATTATAATTCATCTTTAAGTGCTCTTCGAACAGAAATGGTTCTCCATTAATAGTATCTGGTTTATGTCATAAAATATCTGGTAAATCTTCGTTTTATTATATAATGGTTATGCTAATGTGTGCTATTCAAAATTATGAAAGATCGTAAGTTGTTTTCAATAAGCTTGATTGTATTAATATACGACCTTTTGATCGCTTAAGCGCTCCTGTAATGTCGATTTGCCAACCAAATTTTCTGGAATAAGAAGTTGGCTATACGCCAAATCTCTATGCTAAACTTCATCCAGATCTTAAATATTTTTTGATCTTGCCAGACTATGATGTGGCCGATTATTTCATACATCATCATTACATCGTGATCAATTCTACGCTTTTGCTATGATATACAAATACGCATTATTTACAAAGCGCCTGTTGAAATCAAGAGATCAAGAATACATATCTTATAATCTTTTTGCGATTCTTTGCTGAAATAATAAAATATTTATTAAAGCATCCTACAGGTCTCATAACCGTATATATCACTTCCAACCTCCTCCTCTTTCATCTTCTGAGTCCAAAGACGTTCACTGCTGGACATAGGCCTCCCCCAAGTTATGCCATAACAACCAATACTGTCATGCTCGCATCAATCGTTAATCGCCCCGTCTTCTGGAACGCGATCACCACTCGAAAACAATTTCAGGTTCCACATAGGAAAAATACTTATGCGATAAGTTCGATCATTTATTCTGTGACTGGGTGTCATAATAATAATAATAAATTTATTTTCAGACATTAGTCCATAGATATGTTAGTAACAGTAATCTTACAACTATGTTAGTTCTACATTAACACAAAAACAAATTAAAAAATAAATCGTGGGGATGCGCTAGCATGCAGACGCATCCACCTTTGTAGGATTGGAAGATCCCACCTCTCGGACAAGACTCTCAGGATCTCGATTGGACATTGACGCGCTCCGCTTCCTTATGATTGCATAAAAGTCATCGCAACGTGCCTCCGCGAACATGTTTGATGCACTGCAAAACCTCGACAGATTCAATAGCATCCTGAAAGCATTGTTGTACTGGACGCGTAGAGCGCTGTACGCCCGCTGCGTAAAGTTAGTCCACAGGCTGCACGTGTAGAAGGACTGACAATATGCTTTGAAAAGAGTAACTTTTACTGGTGCGGTACAACGTGCGAACCTGTGAGCCAACATATTACACCGGACAGACAGCGCCCTACGCTCCCTCTCAATATCAAGGTCATCTGATAAGTCATCGGCGACTCAATGCCCAAGGTACTTAAACTTATTGACTCTCTTTAAGGGAGTTCCGCAAAGAGTGACTGGAGGTACAATTGAGTAGCATTTGGTACCAGCTTTAAAGATTATAAACTCGCTCTTTTTGGCATTATACTTGAGACCATGACTCGCCGCATATGTCTCACAGATACCTATCAACCTACGTAATGCACCAATCGATGGGCTCAGCAGCACCATGTCATCAGCGTAGCTTATATTATTTATGCACACACCGTCAATAGAACAACCTATGTTTGTGCTACTAAGCTCACCGATCAGCCCATTCATATACAGATTAAAGAGACGAGGCGAGGATATACCACCTTGCCTCACGCCACACTCCAACCTGTACATGTCCGACCGCACATCCGACCATCTTACCCTATTTTTCTGCTGACTGTACCAATATTTAAATAGAGATACAATCTCACGTGGTAGATTCGTATCACATTGTAGCTTCTGCCACAGCCTGTCATAATTAACAAGGTCAAAAGCTTTTGAGAGATCTAAATAACAAGCGTATACAGGTGTATTTCTAGCTGTATAGTACTGGACAGTCTGCTTGAGACAGAGAACAGCACTCTCAGTTGATAAACCGGGCCTAAACCCAAACTGTGCGTCATGTAATTGTAGGTGCTGTTCCAACTGCCGGTCAAGCAAACTGTCCAGCACCTTAGCAATAACAGTCGCAAGTGAAATTGGCCTATAATTAGACATATTCGACAAATCGCCAGTCTTATCCTTTACGATAGGCACAATAATGAGTATTTATTTAAAAATTAATAAGTAAATTTATCATCAGGTTGATTACCACAACACAGGCTCTGCCTAAATTAGAATACATATAACGGTCGTTATAAGATGTGTAAAGTAATTAATATAATTTCGAAGAAACCACAATTTAACCTTCAGACTTGGCTTTCATGCTTACCACAATTTGGCCGGAGTGTATGTAAACCACAATATAATTCAATTATTTATTGAAACCTACGGCAAGCCTGACTGTCA